GGGGGAAAGAGTAAGAAGGTTTCAAAGACTTACACAATAATGCGTATAAATAACCCTATCTACAATAATAAAGATCTGATAACCTCCCACTGCAGAAAAACAAAGGGATGGATAATTACGTTAACAGTTACATTTTATCACACAGTGGTCCCGCCTTATCCACAGTTTTACTTTCTGTGGTTCTGCTTTCTGTGGTTTCAGTTACCTGAGGTCAACTTTGGTCAGAAAATATCAAATGGAAAGTTCCAGAAAAAAACAATTCAGAAGTTTTAAACTGTGCACCGCTGTTCCAATCAATATGATGAAATCTCACACCATCCCATTCTGTCCCACCGGAACGTGAATCATCCCTTTGTCCAGTGTACCCCCGCACGTCAGTCACTCACAGCAGCCACCTCGGTTATCAGATGGACAGTCATGGCATCACAGTGCTTGTGTTCAAGTGACCATTTTTATGTGACAATATTTTATTTAATACCATCCCCAAAGCACAAGAGTAGTGATGCTGGCAATTCAGATTTGACAAAGAGAAGCCGTAAGGTGCTTCTTTTAAGTGAAAAGGTGGAAGTTCTCACTAAGAGAAAAAATCATATGCTGAGGTTGCTACGATCTACAGTAAGAACGAATCTTCCAGGAGTGAAACTGGGATGAAGGAAAAAGAAATTTGTGCCAGTTTTGCTGTTGCACCTCAAACTGCAAAAGTTACAGCTACAGTGCATGACAAGTACTTAGTTTAGATGAAGAAGGCATTAGATTTGTGCAGTAAGATACTGAGAGACAGAGAGAATGAGACCTATTCACATAACTTCCATTACAGCATACTGTTATAACTGTTCTATTTTACTATTAATTACTGTTGTTAATCCCTTACACACTGTGCCTAATTTATAAGATTAATCATAGGTACGTATAGGAAAAAACATAGTATATATAGGGTTCGGTACCATCTGTGGTTTCAGTCCACTGAGGGTGGTGGAACCTATCCCCTGCAGGTAAGGGGAGGTTACTTACTGCATTAGTAATCTTACTTATTCGCTACACTTCACCATGCATGTGAAATATCTCATAATGATTTCCAAAAAGAAACATGACTGCCCTTATAAATCACCATCACCACGAATATCACCTCCTAGTACAAGAACCATCTATGCTCATTTTCTTGGTTTTGTCTGTCACAGTATCTAGTTTACGCCAGATTACTTTAGATGTCATCAATTACAGAAAAACTCCTACATAGAATAGATACTTTTCCATCCATAGTTGCATATGCTTATTCACCTAAGACCTTAAAGAGCATAAATTCAGTATAGCTTTATGTTATTTGGGATTTTAGAGAAACCATTCCTTTATGAAGAAATTTTGAGACTGACTTCCTCTTTTCACTTTACCTCAAGCCTGTCTTGACTGACTTTCCTTGCTATCTGAGAGTGTGCCAATAAGAGTTAAAGGATTTATCATGAGACAATTACAACTAGCTATTTTTAGGTTTGGGGGAGAAGCGAGGGCTGTACTCCTCTGAATTGCATTGCATTACCTTTAAAAATAACACAACAAAAATTTTCTTTTACAAATCTATTCAAATGCAACTTACATTTAGTTCAAAATTAAACATATTAAATTAACACAATCAGAGACGTTCTAAACCTAAACCAGGATTTTGATTTACTCACTTAAAACTATCCTGGCCCATAAAGAATAAATAAACGACTTCAAATGCACTATCTAAAAATCCCAACACAGACAGAGAGGCAGCTCTTGACCAAATCAGACACTCACTATCAAATCACGCACCATAAAATCTGCACCTAAAAAGGGACCATAACTGCAGCTCTGAACGCCATGAGGCAGAAAAAGAACCTGCCAGGCTACTTTCTGGGATGAGGCCAGAAAATTAATGCCTGATATGTTGGACTAGTTGTAGCACCGACCAGTACTCAGGCTGGGTTTATTTGAGGACAGCCCTTTCCAAGGTTTCTTACTCCTAGAATGTATAATAACTAAATAAATACTATATACTTGCCCAGCCCTGGGTCTCCCATCATTAATCAACCAACCCCACTGAGCCCACTGAAATCCCCTGCTCCTTGTTAAATTTCCCAAATCCTCAACTTTTTTTTCAAAAGTGGTCTCCCTGCTCTAAGTAAACCCAGGCTTTCCCAAAGGATATAACTTCCCCGAATGCTCTCCAGTGAAGTCCACTAATCCCCCAGCATCACAGAGTGGCAGGGAGAAGTGTGGGCACCTCCAGGTTCCTCGATGCTGCTCCCATTTGTTTATTTTTTGGTTTTTGTTTTTTTGCGGTACGCGGGCCTCTCACTGTTGTGGCCTCTCTCGTCGCGGAGCAACAGGCTCCGGACACGCAGGCTCAGCGGCCACGGCTCACGGGCCCAGCCGCTCCGCGGCACGCGGGATCTTCCCGGACCGGGGCACGAACCCGCGTCCCCTGCGTCGGCAGGTGGACTCTCAACCGCTGCACCACCAGGGAAGCCCACTGCCCCCATTTAAAGCTCACACTCCTCTTCACTCTCCCTCCGCACGGCTGCCATCTAGGGGCACCCCCGCCACTCCCGCCCACTGAAGAAGTCTTCAGCACCCGGCTGACAACAGATCTCTCCTTCAAATGCCACTCTTGCCATAATCCTAGGGTTTCAACGTCCGACTTCCTGGGCGTCCGTAATCCCAACGCCCGCACCCTCCGGTCCATTTTAGCTCTCCAGTTTGCAAGACCACGCCACCCAGGACCCTCCTCCCAGGCCTGACACACCGTCACTCACGTTAACTGCTGCTCTTGCATCTCTCAGAGTCCTCCACCTCCCTGACTTCCACGTTTTCTCCCAACCTGTCCATCCATCCTGAATTCTCTTCCTTCCTATCCAGGCTACATTCCTGGACCGATCATCCCAACTATTCCTTCCCCTCCACCCTCAATTCACTTGCTCTATCTACCCAGCAAAACCCTAACCCTAATACCGGCGGCTCGGTTCTTTGTGGCTGCCTGGAGGGGTGGGATAGGGAGGGTGGGAGGGAGGGAGACAAAGAGGGAAGAGATATGGGAACATATGTGTATGTATAACTGATTCACTCTGTTATAAAGCAGAAACTAACACACCATTGTAAAGCAATTATACCCCAATAAAGATGTTAAAAAAAACTCTAACCCTAGAGCAGTCCAGTAATTCCTCCCTGCTCCTCCACTGCTAAAGGGAAAAGAAAAAGTTAGAGAAGGGAGAAGGAAGCAGAGGGAAGAAAGTGGGAGAAAGGAGGAGGGAGAGGAGGAGGAGAGAGAAAAGAATGTTACGTCTCCTTGAAGACAGCTGGGCTCTTTTACAGTCCACCGTCACCTCCTTTCCCATTTCCCCCAAAGACCAGCCTAGACCTTCACAATCGTCTCAAGCTCACACCACACGCTCAGCATCCCAGCTACATCATCTGACCCCACCAGAATCTGTCTCTCGCTTCTTAGCAGAATGGCTGGAGGCTAACACGACTTAAAACAGATCTACTGCCAGTTAAAACCAGTACACTTCCCTATGCCATCAAAAGGCAAGCAAAATAATTCTGTGAACATAGGTACACTCGTGTGTTTTTAGGTTCCAACAGGGATCAGGAAATAACGTATACAAATAAACTTGTGGGAAATGTGGACATGTAATTAAACCTTTCTAGAGGCTGTTTACAAGATTATGTTCAACACTAAGAATTGTCTAACTATAAAGAAAACAGAATCCACTAATTTGGTAATTGTTTGGTAAACCCTTTCCCCAGTGAGAATAAAGATGCATACAACAATAAAAACAAAGTTTTAAGAGGAAATCATCTAAATTAAGAGAACCATTCTGATAACTGTACTTGAGAAGCATCTATTTACATAAAACTATTTATATACCAAAAACTAAAGCTTCTTGCTACATCAACAAACATTAAATGAAGGCACATGATGCAAAACACCATGTCAAACTTTTTAGGGGATACAAAGACATTAAAAAAAGAGACAGAGAGGGAAGGAGGGGTAGAGGGAGGGGTCCCTATCTGTAAGAGTCTTCTAGCTCTTGAATATGTTGTTAATAAAAATAATAATAGCATAGCAGCTAACACTGACTGAATGTTTACTATGTGCCAGGTCCTGTTTAAAGTGTTTTATTTGTTTTAACTAATTTAAACCACAAAAGAACCCATGGGATAGGTACTATTGTTATCACCATTTATCAATAAAGAAATTAAGGCATGGAGAGGTTAGGTTACTTGTTCTATGCCATACAACTGATTAAATAAAGCCAGATTTTGAATCCAGGGAATTTAACATAGAAGGCAAGTGCTTAGTCACCAATCACCATAATGTTCAGCCTAAAGATTTCTAACTACTTAGTAACTGAAAGCAGAGGTTTTCAAAGTATAGTCCATGAAAACCTGGGGGTGCCTCCTAGCCCTTTTGAGAAGTCAAAACTATTTTCATAATAATACTACGACTCTGTGTGCCCACTGTGTTAACACGTGCACTAAAGGTATAAAGGACAGGCAAAAGCGCTCGTTGCCTCTGGACAACAGCGTCAAACCGTACTAGCGGTCAGTGTATTCTTCACTGTCAGCACTCTCAAGGACAAAAAAGAAAAATAAGAAAGGACATTTTTGGGGCTTCCCTGGTGGCACAGTGGTTGAGAGTCCGCCTGCCGATGCAGGGGACACGGGTACGTGCCCCGGTCCGGGAAGATCCCACATGCCGCGGAGCGGCTGGGCCCGTGAGCCATGGCTGCTGAGCCTGTGCGTCCGGAGCCTGTGCTCCGCAACGGGAGAGACCACAACAGTGAGAGGACCGCGTACCGCCAAAAAAAAAGAAAAAGAAAGAACATTTTTAAAACACTGGCTCACTTAGGAATGTCCCTTGTGACTTTTCATATGCTCAACCCTTGAGTATGTATCTTTGTACCATTCTGTGTGATGAAACAGGAAGGGGAGGCCCAACTGCTGCGTCCTGGGTGTGATGCTGCTCCCAGGACAGCACTGGGTGCTCTGTGAGCTGCAAGCTGAATCAGGTACTTTTTTCACGGAACCCTATTCTTACTCGAGAGAAGAACTGACACACAAACTTGGTATTTGGCAGGCATTTTCTTAAAAACAAATGAAATGAGTCATTTTAGGAGAATAAGGGGCCCTGATATCAAAAGCTTTGAGAACAGCTGACTCCAAGAAATGCTGGAGGAAATGAAACTGAAGTTCATTTAATGTGTCATTTTCATTAAGTCTTACTATTTCTTCTCAGCCTACAAAATGAGTGAACTATTTTTACATACCACTTTCTTAAACTTACACATCAAAGTGTGATCACTTGAAAGTGTGAAATGACACATAAGATTCCTTAGGAAGTTCTCACTTACCTTCATTTCGATAACAGTTTGCAGAGCTTTAGTTTTGGCAGAATCGGGGGCATTCTCAAATCTCCGATGCATCTCCTATACAAGAGAAGCAAAAGGAGAGTAAGTGCCCTCCTTTTCACTCTCATTTTTTCAAGAGGGGAGTGGAGAGGCGAGGGAGTAGTAGTTACATGCAAAGATGACTACCCCGGCCTTGTAAGACACTGTGATCCAATTTCTGTCTTCCTGACCTTTCCCTGTGGACCAGGGAGCACACAGACTGCATTCAGGCTAAGGGGCACAGGAGGGTCCCCGTCTCTGCACAGCTGGTTATACACGGTAAGTCACACAGACCCCAGCCACCACAAGAGGTGAAGCTCCGGCACATCCCCACGTTGTGTGTCACTCTTCCACAGGACTCTGAGACATATTATCAGAACTCCAAACAATTCAAAAAGGGGATTAGAAATAGTCCCTTTTTAAAAGGAGAAATCAGGACTTCCCTGGTGGCGCAGTGGTTAGGAATCCGCCTGCCGATGCAGGGGACACGGGTTCGAGCCCTGGTCTGGGAAGATCCCACATGCCGCAGAGCAACTAAGCCTGTGCGCCCCAACTACTGAGCCTGCGCTCTAGAGCCCATGAGCCACAACTACTGAAGCCCGTGCGCCTAGAGCCTGTGCTCCGCAACAAGAGAGGCCACCGCAATGAGAAGCCCGTGCACTGCAATGAAGAGTAGCCCCCGCTCACCGTAACTGGAGAAAGCCCGCGAGCAGCAACGAAGACCCAACACAGCCAAAAATAAATAAATTTATTTTTAAAAAAAAGAAAAAGGAGAAATCAAAGTAGCCACAGTCCACACTGCACAAAACAACTGAAAGCATTTGTGTTGACGACCTCCTTTGCATAGCATCCTCCCCCAGAGCAACAACCACCGGGCTACCTACGATGGAAATCTCTCTCTAGAGGGGCTACGATCAGCAAGAAAAAGAAGGTAAGACTGCTGAACAAGTTTCCTAAACAGTCTACCTGTAGCAAATAGCAGAAAAACATGGCTATTTTTTTCAATCCAAATGTCAGTGCGTTCAGGATCAGAAAGGAAAGAAGGAGACGGCAGAATATCACAGTTAGGGTCTTCAAGGATCACCCTGAAGTTACCAGACCTCCTCAGGCTATCTTCCTGTCAGATTCTGTCAATGTCTCTGAGTCAGCCAGTACTTCCAGAGTACCCTGGTACAGCCCCTAGTGATGGCAGAGAATACAGATGGATACTTTCCATCTGAACAGTGCTGGTGAAATTCTAGCCCTGCCCTCTGCTCTGCCCATTTGACATGTATATAGATGTTTACTAGGTCACTCAAACTTATTTCATTCAAAACAAAACTCGTGATTTTCTCCTCTTTAACCTAGCCCCTCCTCTGAAGACTGATGAGTCTTGCCCATCTCCTTAAATGGCATTACCCTGCCGGTGGTTCAAGCCAAACAGCAGTGTCTCCTTTCATTCCTCCCACATCTTCACTTCCTACCACCTTCTAGAGCAGGTCCTAATTGTTCCAGCTTCAAAAGATTTCTTGAATTTATCATTTCACTCCACTTCCAGTCTAGTTTAAGCCTAGATTACTACAACAGCCTCGAGTTAAGTTTCCTTTCATTTCCTCTGTCCATTTTAAAGAAAGCAATGGTGTACTCTAGATAAAGCATCAACAAATCATGGCAATAGTCTGTTTTCAATTCTTCAACAAGTTTCCTATTTACTTCTCACCCTCTACAAGGTCAACACAATCTGATCATAACAGACAGAAGACTAGCCCTCCTGTCACAACTATGTTAAAATTAGACAAAAATGCATAAAGTAACTGTTTTCAGACACTGGAAAACAAGCAGCACAGGACTATGATCCTTGAGAGAAGAGAAACTAACAAGGTTATGGTCCGGCCTTGCTATCCAATGTGTGACGCAGGGAGAGGAAGACCCAACGGAAAACAGCAGAAGCTCCGCAGAGCTCAGAGGACAGGTCGGTCCCCGCCGAGCTCAGAGGACAGGTCGGTCCCCGCAGAGCTCAGAGGGCAGGTGGGTCCCCGCAGAGCTCAGAGGGCAGGTGGGTCCCCGCAGAGCTCAGAGGGCAGGTCGGTCCCCGCAGAGCTCAGAGGGCAGGTGGGTCCCCGCAGAGCTCAGAGGGCAGGCCGGTGGGTAAGAGTCCCAAGACAGCAGAAATGTGCAGAGCAGAATGACACAGAGGAAGAAGCTAGCCAGAAAAGCAGCAGTGTCTGATCTGACAGGGGTCCCCTGGAGTCTCTGACCAAATACTAAGCCTGCATGTACAGGGAAAGGCTCCACAGTGTCAAAGAACAACTACTGGGGACAGAACAACTACCAGAGAGCTATGAGTTGAGCAACTACCTGAACTCACATGGGGCTGGGAAGAATTCAAGCTCCAAAGAGCCAGAGTGGAGAGAACATCAGAGGCATTGAGCAGAGACACCAGAAAGGCCACATCTTAGGAGTAGAGACAGTCTAGCCCTGGAGGGGAGGCTACCTAGACTAGAGCCAACAGAGTGTAAAAGCAAGTATCATTAAGGATCGAGTTAATCCACAATTAACCCCTGCAAGATAAAACACTTCATTAAGACAGTAAAATGCAGAACACATTAATCCAGGACAAAATCTGAACACATTAGTTCAGGCCATAATCACCTCTCACCTGCATTAAAACAACAAACTCATTAGTTACCCCCCCCACCCCCGGCCTCTAGTTTGTCCACACTGAATCTACTCCCTACACTGTAAACAGGTGATAAATTGGGCACACAGATATCTAATAATATGTTTAATAAATGACTGCAAACTTTAAAATGTAACAAAAATAAAATGAATCCTGCTAATTGTAAATAATCATCACCTCTTAATAAAGTCCTCTAACCTACACTTCACACTTTTCACTTAATATTTCTGTATCTACTTGAAATACTAAAACTGCATTTCTTTCAAATATCTCACAATTCAGACCCTGAACTAATTTCATCTGACGCCTTTCCCATCACCTACTTCCAAATTAGGGAAATTTCCAAATGCTTTACAGTGAAACTATTACAATTTCATTTTAAACTCTAGCAAGCATATCAGCAATATATAAGGAAAGAAATCCATTTGAATAAAAAAAAAATCCTTCTCTGCTAAGGAACTAGGGTGCACTTTAAACCATTCGCAGGCATAAAGCTTTCCTGTTAAGATCTTGTAAAACCTATCACTCGTAACAGATTTCCATTCAAAGGCCTGCGCATTAAAGCTCATTATGAACACATCCTGCAGTCAGTGGGCTGACCAACTCCCCTTTCCCAGAGAGCACCTCAAGCCTCTGACTCCTGCACTGTTAATAAAGGGAGAGGACTCTGGGAATAAAAAAGAATGTACCATTCAGACAAATGTAAGAAGTCGAATGTGCTAGTGCTTGCTTTATTTCCCTCTTTTTAGCCTGAAAATTTTCACTCCACAGAAATTAAAGTACAGGCAGAATTATCTGGATCTTGTTATACTGTCAACTGTGGTACACGGCAGAAAATGTGTTCAGTTCCTCTCACTGATTTACTAAAGAATAATGACTAGAGAAAGAAAACAAACAAGTTAGGAACAAGATGTATCCGTTGTTAGTAGTTTCTTTCTTTTTAAAAGTAAGTCAACATTTACTTACACAACTGAGAGGAAGGAGCATCTGTGACTGAAAAGTAGTACCTATGTCTGAAATTTCTTTCTTTCAAGTTTCAGGTTTTAGCCTCCAGCACACCCTTGGTTCAAGCGTAGACGTCCCTTCAGCAGATTTCAGTCCTCCACACAAGTTCTGGCTTTACTGTACTCCAGTCGGAGAAGTGAAGAAGGAACCCTCACTACTCTGCCTGCACCTCAACTCCACCGCTGTAAGACAGCACTGCACTTGGACCCTTTACCATCTCAAGTAATGGCATGCTTCTGAGAAAACATATCTTCCTGTCAAAATGGTAATGAGGTACAAATGACACAGCAAAAAAAAGATGAGGAAGGATAACCTGAATCAAGTTATGCGATGCAACTGTTCACACTTTCCAAAATCACTAGGAAAGGGCAAACTAACTAGGGACCCTTTTTCTTTTTTAATTCTTCCTCTTCTTTTGACCAAGGTTTCTCTTTTTTTCCTTCTAACCTCCTCTGCTTTTACCTTACAACTGCCAAAGATACAGACAGGCATTCCTCAGACATGTTAGAGCCAGAATTCCTAGCCTAGAATGTAGTGAAAGAGTAGGGCTTTTAAACCTCAAACACTGCTGCAAATCTTAACATGAGAGCAGTTGTACTAAACAAGGTTTGTTGACTGAAATATTATAGAGACAAAAATTAACATACGTGTAAATGTTTTAAAACAAATTAGTATTTTAATTTCTTTTTTTTTTTTTTGGCCGTGCCGTGCATCATGCGGATCTTAGTTCCCCGACTGGGAATCGAACCCGTGGCCCCTGCAGTGGAAGCGCAGGGTCCTAACGACTGGACCGCCAGGGAATTCCCAACAAATTAGTATTTTATTCATCACAATAGGCTCTACATTTCAAAAACACAGGAGCACATACAGAACTGAAATATTTATTCAGCCTATAGACAATGCTTGGTGTGCATATGGATAGCCGATCCAAAAATTCCATAGCCAATTCAGGTATGTTCTGCCAACAGACTGATAACCAAACTTTGGTGTATCACAGAATCACCTGTAAAGCCTGTTAGAACTCCATACGCCTGGCCCCAGGCACTAACCACGTCTTGACTGTAGTTCAGTATGTGTCCAATAGATGTCTTCACGCTTCTATCCATCAAAGGAAAGGCACTCCAGTAAACAATACAAAATCTAACAATAAGTCACGTGACAATGTAATATATATATATATATATCTCCACATCCTTGGTGCAAAAAATTCAGTGAACAATGAAGAAACGCACATGGAAGTATACTATAATATTACTGGCTCATCTACATATATGTATAGAACTGCACAAGGAAGAATTCACAGAAGAACTGAAATTTGAGCTAAGTCTTGAAGGCAAGTAGGAGAAGAAGGAGAACCAGCATATTCTAAACATGTGTTCCTGAAGCAATCACTTCTACTTGCTCTGAAATAATTTTAATCCATAGGACTGTGTTTCCTGTAAGATGATGCTACATTACTAATAGCAACTGGAATTGTGTATTGATACAAATGACAAGGCCTATATTTCTTTCCACATTATGTTCAGAAGTGGGACTTAACATTTGTAGAGCTTGTTACTTCAAAATTAGTCTTAAATTCTTTTTTTTTTCCTACTACTTGTTCAAATTCACCATATTTCTGGTTGTTCTCTGCCAGAATAACACTGTGGCTTTTCATAATCCTTAACTATTCACTATTTATTAACTCTAAAACTCAAAAATAAATGGGCAGAAGTTGAAATATTCAGAACAGAAGGAGTAAAAACATAATGTTCAAAGTTCATCACGATGCTGGTAGGGTTTTCCTGCTGTATGCTATTTGATTTGAGATGATTACACCTTCTCTAACAATGTTCTATGGCCTGGCTCCAGGTTACCTCATTAAAATATAAACTCTTTAAAGTAAACTTAAAGAAACTCAGGATGGTGCCTACAACACAGTAGTTGATAGAAAGTTTTCTAAAACAATACAGTCCAGTAATTTGAAGACTGTAACATACATAGCTGTAGATTAACCGTAAAAATACAGTATATGCTTCTGGGAGGATAAACTGGTCCCATCACTCTGGGAGACGAGACTGATATTCAGAGTTTTGAAAATGTACACACCCTGAGCAAATTCATTTCTGGAAATTTATGCTAAGGAAAAAAATTAATGTACAGGGATATATGGTTAGGGATCTTCAGTGCAGCACAGTTTTATAATAATGAAAAATTAACAGTAGTCTAAATTTTCAACAGTAAGAAATATAAATAAATGCAACAGAACATTATAAATTCAATTGAAATTACAAAACTCTACATGTACTGACAAAGAAAGAAAGATGATGGTCAAGACAAATTATTAAGAAAAGCGGGTAACATTACATCATGCATCGCTGCACTACCTAATACAGTAGCCACTACCTACACAGAGATACTTAAATTTAAATTTGATTAATTACATTTAATTTTTAATTCGTTATATTTAAATAAAATTTAAAATTCAGTTCCTCAGTCACACTAACCACATTTCAACTGCTCAACAGTCACATGTAGCCAGTGGCTGCCATATTGCAGAGAGCAGATATAGACGGTTTCCATCATCAGGAGAAGTTGCTGTTTTGCTGCTTTTAACTGCCTTCCTCACAGTTCATTTAAAAAGGGATTATTCAGACTGGCACTAAAATAGTTCTGAGATTTTTTTCCCCCCTATCCAAATGTGAAAATTATCTGAAGACTCTGACCTCATATAGGGAAGTAGAGCTGTCATTTTTTTTTAATTCAATGTAAGATGAATTCTTCACTTAAGCTTTCTTAAAATGAAGCATTACACAGAAAAGTGAAAAGTTATCAGTAGTCACAGTGGTCAGCTGAAGTCTGAGTTTCCTCTCTAAAAACAAATGACAGCATACCTCTGTATCATTCCCTCTAGCTGTGCCTCCAGGGCAGCAAATATATATATTTTTAATTTTATTTATTTATTTTTGGCTGCATTGGGTCTTCGTTGCTACATGCAGGCTTTCTCTAGTTGCGGCAAGCGGGGACTACTACTCTTCATTGCGGCGCACGGGCCTCTCATTGTGGTAGCCTCTCTTGTTGCGGAGCACGGGCTCCAGGCACATGGGCTCAGTAGCTGTGGCTCGAGGGCTCTAGAGCACAGGCTCAGCAGTTGTGGCACACAGGCTTAGTTGCTCCGCGGCATGTGGGATCTTCCCGGACCAGGCCTTGAACCCGTGTCCCCTGCATTGGCAGGCGGATTCTTAACCACTATGCCACCAGGGAAGCCCAGCAAATAATTTCTATCACGTATCTTTCACAGCAAGACAACAGTTTCCATGGAAACCACAGGGCAAACATCCATTACTGCTGCCTAGGACTTTATAAGCACACCGAAAATGAGGGAATCGCTTACTTTCAATTATTAATATTTTAAAATTGAGCAGTAGTTAGCTACTCTAATTCTGGTTTTGTTGTGTGTGTCTCTATGAACAAATCAAGAGATGAGTAACAAATCAAGAAAATTCTGTGCCCCTCTAGCAACAAAATGAGTCTACAGAAATCAGGAGGGGGAAAAAAAAACCCGAGAAAGGTATTAAGCCAGTATACATGCCAGCCAATGTCATCTCATGCAAGACAGCAAATCAGAACAGAAATCAGTGCAGAATTTAGGTAAGAAAGAAGAAATTCCCTTGCACTAGCTCAGGAGAGCATATAAATTTATCTAGGTCAAAATGCTGACTAATCAGGAAAAAAAGACAGTCGTAACAACTGAGAAAGTGGCCACTCACCTCTCTCAACAGAGCGTTCTCTTTTTCCTTCTGCTCCAAAAGGCTTTCGAGGTGGTGGACGTGCATCTCTGCCTCTGCCAGTCTCCTTGTTCTCTCATGGTCCTCCTCAGTAGCCTTAGCAGAAAGCCCCTTGCTCTGCAACATCTCCAGAAGCTTCTTGATGGATTCGTCCCGAGCGTTCAGGGTTTGCTTCTGAGTCTCAATCCGCAGCTCCATCTCCTCCAGAGTCTTTCGAAGGAGGAACAGCTCCTTGGCCTGCCGCTCGTGCTCAGTGTGCAGCCTCTGAAAGTTCTCCTCTGTCAGCTCTGTCACACAAGGCTCACCAGTCCTACTGTTACTATCCTGTTGAAACAGCTGGTTCAGGTCCCTCTGGATCCGCAATTCATCCTGGAGAGCCTGGATTGTCATTTGCATGTGCTGGTATAAAGACAAAAAAGAAAACCCGAATGAGCTTTCCTCCTCAAGTAGCAGAAACAAAGCAGATTACGGGGAGTGAGAAAGCAGCTACCACAGCTCTCAGAACCCTGCATTTAGCAAATAAGGATTCACATTATTCTGTTTTACGCTGTCTTTAAAAATGATTGAGATAATCTGTAAAATGTCAGTAATTTAATTTGTGTTTATTACCAACAGGAAACAAGGTAAGTCTGGCAGCTCCTCACTTTGCTTGACTAAATAAAGACACTGTTCAAGATTAACAGAAGGTATTACATGGAACTGAAGGTGAGGAGAGGGGAAATCTATAGGAATACGGACACATCATAAAAAAAATTTCACCAAAAAACACAAAGGATGTCAAAATACAAAATGACTTTTAAGTGTTTTACAATTAAGCTAGCACACTGAATAATAAACATATGAGGGCATGCCAGAACGTGCTTAGCACTCCTTATGTGTGAATTCATTTAATCCTCACTATAACACATGTACTATTATTCGAGTTTTATTGATGATGACACCAGGCATGCAGAGACTTAAATAACTCACCCCAAGATCACACAGTAAGTAACAGAGCTGGCATTCGAATTAAAGCAATTCTCGCAGCCCACTGAAGCTAGTACCCAAAGGTAATAAGATAACTTGGAAGCTTTAAAAACAAAAAACAAGGGCTTCCCTGGTGGCGCAGCGGTTGAGAGTCCACCTGCCAATGCAGGGGACACAGGTCCGTGCCCCGGTCCGGGAAGATCCCACATGCCGCGGAGCGGCTGGGCCCGTGAGCCATGGCTGTTGAGCCTGCGCGTCCGGAGCCTGTGCTCCGCAACGGGAGAGGCCACAACAGTGAGAGGCCCGCGTACCGCAAAAAAAAACAAAAACAAAAAACAAAACACAAAAAACTGAGGCTGTGTGAGCTATTTACACAGAAGAAGATAACAATATAAGTGAGTGATTTGAATAATTAAATGAAAATGCTAGTGCAGATAAGCTAGTAAAATGTTTCAGAGGGTATATCTTTAGCCTGTACCCCTAACGAAGGTATATGAACCTTTAATCTGAATGGGTAAATTCTAGAACATTATACAAAGAACCTAAAAGGAAGTTACATCAAGAATCATGTTTTTAGGGCTTCCCTGGTGGCGCAGTGGTTGAGAGTCCACCTGCCGAGGCAGGGGACACGGGTTCGTGCCCCGGTCCGGGAAGATCCCACGTGCCGCGGAGCGGCTGCGCCCGTGAGCCATGGCCGCTGAGCCTGCGCGTCCGGAGCCTGTGCTCCGCAACGGGAGAGGCCACAACAGTGAGAGGCCCGCGTACCGCGAAAAAAAAAAAAAAAAAAAGAATCATGTTTTTAGAAATGAAGAAGAAACAATAGAAAATCACTCTTTGTATTCAAGGTATTCAAGGTCTGGCAGTGTGCCGCAGTGGAAGGAAACTAACCCACAATCAGAAGACATGGGTTGTAGTTCCAGCTCTCACACTAAAGAGCAACCTAATTTGGAACACACTGCCATCCTTCTGGGTTTCAGATTCCTCATATTTAAAATGAGGATATAAATACCTGCACCACCTTTTCACAGAGCTAATAATATCACTGAAATCTTTGTGGCATATATGTTAAAACATACATTGTTTAAAATTTTTGGCAAACTGCAAAACAGCAGTAAATATCTCAAGGAAACGATCTGGCAAGTGTACAAAGATGCTCACTGTTGTTTATACCAGTGACAAAATTAGAAACAACCTAAATGGATATTAATAGGTGATGAGTTAAGTAAATGAGAAATGTCCACCTAGTTTAATACTATGCATCAACTTTTTTAAATGTAGATTTATATTTACTGATAAAAACTACAGTTACAACATATTAAGTGTAAAAAAGCAGACATATAATAGCAAGTATAGGATGATCGCGATTCTAATTTTTTAAAAGTATATACATGTAGACCCAACACAGCCAAAAATAAAATAAATAAATAAATAAATAAATAAAGTATATATATGCAGAGAAAAGTCTAAAAGGATGCAAACAATTACCAGTGTCTGGGTATGGGTAGATTTTACATTTTTCTTCATACTTTTTTCTACTATCTAAATCCCCTACAGTAAGCAAGTAATCAATAAAAAGAGACATTTTTACCTTTAAAAATAAGAGAAAAGACTTCAGAGATGCCTGCTTGGCTGTGTTCAATTTGCTACCACTTTGGTTAAAAGGGAGGGAACAATAAATATTTACTATTTACTATAAATAAAAAATATCATAAGAAATAAAAATACTTCTGTAATGTTACACAAGAAATAATTAATTTGGGGGAACGGAGGAAGGCAAGAAGGGAGGAAGGGAGGAACGAACTGGAATCACTGAGGGACAACCTGTAAGAAAACTTTATTCTATTCCGCATAAAATTTTTTTTTAACTAAGGTGTAACTGACATTGAAAATTTTTTAATAATAGCTTTATTGAGACATAATTCACACATACCATAAAGTTCACCGCTTTAAAGTGTGTAAGTCAACAGTTTTCAGCATATTAAAAGTTATGCAAAAAAAAAAGATTGAAATAAACTCATGTGTAAATGTTCAAAAAAAAACAAGTTATGCATTGATCAGTACTATCTAATTCTAGAACACTGCCATCACCCCTTAAGAGAAATCCATATACATCTGCAGTCACTTCCCAGCCACTTCCCATCTTTCTCTCCTCCTAACCCTCCTCTTGAATTTGAACTAAATGTATGTACTACCCACTCAAAAATTAAATTTTAAAAAATGTCTAATGATATTTTTCAGCCTCAAAAAGGAAGGAAATGCTGACACACGCTGCAACATGGATGGACACTATGCCAAATGAAATAAGCCCATCACAAAAGACAAATATTACACGAGTCCACTTACATGAGGGTCCCTAGAGCAGTCTACCTCACAGAGACAGGAAGCACAAGAGTGGCTGCCAGGGGCTGGGGAGACGGGAGACAGGAAGTGACTGTTTGATGGGTGCAGAGATTCAGTTTTACAGGATGAAAGAGTTGTGGAGATGAATGGTGGTGATGGTTGCAAAACAATATGAATGTACCTTATGAACCTACACCTGAAAACTGGTTAAGATGGTAAATTTAACATGGTGAATGTAAGCTGTATTTTACAACAATTTTAAACACTGGGGAAAAATATGCCTGCCATAGAATTCCAATGTGTTGATATTAAATAATTTACTTATAACTATTGATAAATATTTAGTTTGGTTCTCATTTTCCACTATTGTAACGGGCACCTTCACATGTATATTTCTGCACATCTATCCAAATTTTTCCTGGAGATAAATTCTGAAAGGTGGAATTCCTGGATCAGAGGGTATGAAGTTATGATTTTAATACACACAACAAATTATCTCTAAAAGGGTCTGTACAGATTTAAACTTCCACCAAACGATGTCTGAGCACTTTCCTATACCTTTGACAACTGGGTATTTTCTTTCTTCTCTTTCTTTTTTGGGCTTTTCTTTGATTACAAGTAAGACTGAATATCTATTCACATATCTACAGGCGCTTTGTATTCCTTCCTTTGTGACTTATCTGTTCTTGTTCTTTGCTCATTTTGTTTTGGGGACATTTAAACTTTCTCCTAATCCACTTTAGTATTTTTGTATATTTGGAAAACAACCTTTTGCCTGCTGTGCATGTTACAAATATATTTCCAAATCTGTCATTTTTCTTTTAACATAGTTTATGGCAACTTAAATAGAGAATTTTTTTAGTGCAAAGATAAGAACCTCTTCTTTCATAGTTTCTGGTTTTGGTATTATGCTTAGCAAGTAGTGAACTTTCAATTATGGCAGTCTTCAAACTCTCGAAAAGCATTGGCTTTTTCTTACGAAAAATAAATTTACAATAAAATTATCAGGTATTTGAATTCATGAATATGATTCTTTAAATAAATTTAACTACCCACATCATGCTGCAAAGATTCTCAACAGTTGTTGGAGTTCAAAATCCTTAATAAAAAGATGTGTCAAAATGCTAATTCTCTGAAGCCTGTAATCAACCCCCAGTTTCATTCTTTACCTTTGGAAGTCAAAAAATCCAAATAAATCCTGAGCAAGTTTATCCCACAGGGAAATATCAGAAGTTAAATTGAACAGTGAAACTGATTTCTAGGTACAACCGTCCCTCCTTTTCTGGACGCTCATCACCAAATTCATTCAAATCAAGACAAACAGATGTTGACAACAGCTAACAGTCTCACATACACTTTAGCACTTGTGATTATACTAGTATGGCAAGCACTGTTTTGGTGAAGAAAGAAAATACAACGACTAATGTGCCCTGCTTCTCCAGCTCTGCTTGCACTCATTTTACTAGAATATAGAATTAAAATGATGTTCTGACTGGTAGCCGAGAAGGCCACACAGCAATTTTCTCCACTGAAATGGGAATCAGCACCCCTTCTTTAGGCTACATTCAAGCTAGATTCACTTTATAAAAATTCCTCCCAACTCCCTTGGGAGAAGAAAGAAGCAGCAGGCAATAAGCCAGCCTGCTCTTTCTCTAGCACATTCATACTGAAGACAAAGTGAGCATATCTGCACGTATCACAGACATTTACCATGATGGACCAAAAACAGAAATGCTGAATTTAGTAGGACGACGATCTCAGTTGTCAGATATTAGGAAAATTTCTATTTGGGAATTCTGCTCATGACACTCTCCAAAATGATCTCACACTTCTCACATTCCAAATTGTACACCAACACTCACTAGTCTACTTCTGCTCACTCTAACACTCAGCTTGAGCTGGAAGACTGGAAAAATAACAGCTTAAAATTTAGTTCAAGGATTGTGCTAAAATTACACCAAGCTGTATCTCAATGAAATGGTAGGATGTTGTGAACAACAGTAATGAAAATTCTTAAATCTCTGATAGGGTTTATGATCTTTTTTTTAGAAAAATACATCTCAAAAACAACAAAAGATCACAACAATGCTTCA